GCACGAATAGGCGAATATTCGGTATTCACTATACATTTGGCGAGTAGACGAGTCGTGTGAACCCGGCTTAAGATACAGACATTGCATTATACAAACAATTAGGATTTCAAGGTTTTGTAGACTAATCTGTAGACTGATCTTTAAATACTTTCACGGTATACTTTAATTAAAAAACATGCAACCATAATAATCAAACATACATATTCGGGTGTAATACATTTGGTCCAAAATTCACCAAGATCCTTATGTAAAAAATACAAGCAAACATGTTCAATCAGAAAACGGAAACAATAATAATATAAAGAAAACGACCTTTTTTTTAATCAATATCAAACATTTTACAAATACTTTTTATACTTTTGCTTGATAAACATTTTAGTAGTCGCGTTTGACCAACTTAACATTTTTAGAAGCAAACACTTTTAGTTGAAATACAGAATATTTGATTTAATGATGCGATTTTCTTATGGTACACACAACTATAGTAATTTTAACAACGGCTACGTTTTCAAGCCCAGTGTACTTAAAAGATTAAACACGATCACTTAGGAAAGTAAACATCTTGGTCCTTAGACAACCTCTTGGAAAACATTCAAGTCTTCTGATCTTATTCGATCGGCACAATAGGATTTTCCGAGAAAAACGAAACGGCATTCGGTCTAAAATCCGACGTCCCTGCGAGTGGAGGTACTTGAAAACTTAAAAGTCTGTCTGTACTTTTTCTTTTACAATTCCAGCTGATTGCAGTAGAGTAAAGGCGCAATAATTGTCTCTAACCAATACAAAAGACACGAGCGGACCGTCAGAATAACAGCTAACAACGTTGCCCCGTTTTAAAAATGAAATTATTTCAAGTTATTTCAAATCATTCCATATTGTTGTTTGTATATAAGCAAACGGAGTTTTCCGTAAGGTTATTGTGCCAAATAATATATAAAAAAAACCCGTAGAAAACCGAAGGGAGGGAAGGGATAATAACACTATTATTTGATATTGGAATTCACTCGGTATTGGAACCTACAGGCTGTTGGTATAGGCGTGAATTCAATTTTCCAATGTCGACAAACGGTGAAGTTTCGAAATGACAAGTCGGCCAACGGCATGGATTGGTAATTTGTTTCGAAACTTGTGTAATGACTTCGGAAATCGTCGATAAACAAAAAAAGAAGATAAAAAAAAACATGCCGTTTAAAGGTGTAGGTGCGGGCCCCGACGGTTGACCGTAAATTTATATTACAAGTTGGAAAGTTGTGCTTTACCATAATTTCGTATCGATCAAAGTCGGAAAATCCATAAATTTTTAATATATAAGCAAAATCGTTAAAGGACATGCCATTCACCTCAAAAGCGTTCTCTGTGTGTTTGTGTTAATCGTGGGTTGGATATGCAATTTAAATGTGAAGTAAATTGAAGGATCAATGTCAGTCTGCCTAAGTATATATATATTAAATTAAATTGCTAAGATGTGTACATACCTTATCACATGGTTACAACTGTTATCAGTGTTTATAAGTTAAGCTGTCAAAAGCACAGAATCACAAAGATACATGATATATTACTATTATTTTATACACACATAGATCCCACAAAAATGGCCGACGTCCACAGTTCCATTCTTATCACTAGTTAGCAGTGTAGTTGTTTTGTCTAGCCAATCTACTACATAAACTTTGTAGCACCATACGACACTCACACAGTCCCATCAAAACCACCAACCTACCTAGTTCAAATCTATTCCATCTGGATTTCTGAACGTAACACGACCGATGAACATAGGACAATGGGTTACACCGTGTAGGCCACTCGAAAACCAACTGTATTATGATAATAATAATAATAATATAAAGTATATATTAGTATAATAGGATCTGCAGCGGCCACTGCGGAATGCGACGACGAGGTCCTCCAGACAAGACGGACGAAAGAAAGGGTTGAGATGTTTTTGTTTCTTTCTTGTATTATTATATCATCATCGAAGACGATGACGGCGTATTGATACATAAAAACGAGATAAATAATACCAGATCTAATACGCATGTATTAATATAATAATAAGTGTATAATATACATTAAGACGGTGGTTCTTGCACAAGGTCGGTACCTTGTGCAAGAGAAGTGGTGTCTCGTGGAGTGGCCTATTTATGAGGGGGGAAGAGGGAGATAGATCCCAACCCTTGACCATTTTGTGGTAGTTAAGTTTTCCGTATTTCTCAATATAAATTTACTAATTTTAATGCCCGGTTGCACCAAACTTGTCGTTACTATAGGTAAATTATTTACCAGCCTAATAAACTAACTTTTGATAAACTTTATCTTTTATTAATCTAACATGTGTTAAATTTACGAGTGTTGCTTTATCGTTGTTTTATATTCAGGTTATTACCAGTATACTGGTTATCAAATAAATGGTATCAACAGTAGGAGTTAATACTATTATCATACAGGGTCTTATCAATGATAAACTGATAACGCACATTTCCATTATCAACACTTAAACGCAAAACGTTGATAACAAAATTTAACTGTACATACATTTTTAACAACAGATAAAATTTAAAATACGGTTCATGCAACAGAATTTATTTTAACTCCAGTTAAATGAGTTTATCTCTGTGTAAATATTTGGTGCAACCCGGCATAAGTATATCTGTTTTCTAACTATTCTTAAAAGATCAAGGGGGAGGTTTTATCCCCACATCCCCCCTATAAATTCGCCATCGGTCTAGTGGCCGTAACAGGATAGCCGTTCTTCCAATTTTTTAACAAAATAAAAAAGGACTTTTATATATTTAAAATTCGGTTTTGACGATGACGAGGTGAACACATTTTTATATTTAACAGTTTTGGCGGTCTTCGTTATAATATTGCCGGGGGGGGGGGATGGCGGTCTGCTATATTTTCTGTAGCTCGCTTCTCGGTACGATAAATGCGATGAAAAAACTTTTAAAAAAACGTTAAGGGTCATATATGTCCGGTAAAACTCACAAAAAGCACTTTGCCCGGTGACAAACTTTTTTTTTCAAACACACACACACACACACACACACAAGTTTATTCGGATACGCTCAAAGGGTAGGTCTAAATCCCAAAAGGTCCACAACGGGCGTTTGACGTTTGACACACGACCACATGCCATCAAAATTGTTGAATGTGTAGAAATATTGTATAACCAACACTGGTGGTATGGATTTGCCAATGAAAATAGGTAAAATTTTATTTGGAAGAAAATTAAACTAAACACAACAAGCGAAGAGAGATTTTTGGAAAATATGGCGCCCTAAACAGAGAATGGCGTTTATGGGATTCCTGCATCAAAGTAATGTCCTATCTGACATGAAACACACAATATATCTCAGGATTTTTGTACTTACTCTTATGTACCACACCATTATGTACATAAATAAAAACTAGCGATGGGAATTGTACTACTATTATGCTAAGCCACCCATACATTATTATTTATTTATTCTTCAACTTTATTTTGAACCCATGCAGCTATAAAAAAAAAGGTTTATCATCAGCACCCACACGTGACACAAGTCTTAGTATAATTATTTTGGCCTTAACCGGTCGTAAATCCGGTTGGATGAGTCACGTGCAAAGCCGGCAAAGTAGGTATAAAACAGAGAATTTAATCAAATTATCAATAATAATTAATTGCCTATATCCAATAGAGTGACAACCCGCGATAGCAGTGTTGACCCGTTAATAAATATGCGTTCGATTCAAATCACGACAGTATGAATTGATAAATAAAACCATAGATTAAAATATAGTGTTATGAATGATAACAATTATTTGTTTTAAATAATAATACCATAGCGTTATTATGATACGAGACGGACGACACTGTATGTACAATTTAAAGCGGCTGCTGCTGCTTATAATAAGAACTATAATAAGTTGGTCTCATTAAATGATCAATCATCACCAAGAGTACAAAATTAGTAACCGGCACAGTCTCTAATTAGAACGCGCGCGTCGACGACCGATCAATTAGACTATTAATATATAATTAAAATTTTAAATGTATCATTCATTGATCGATAACAGCTAATATTATGATGTAGATCAATATAATCGTCGGCTGCCAAACAACTAATATTTTGTTTTTACAAATGCAATCAAATATAATTTGTAAATATTATTATTGTTGTTTCGACGATAATATTGCAATGGTTTTGTTTTTACAATATCGATGAATATATTAATTTAATAATTCTACAGTGGTAGTATAGAATATATTATTGTTATGTACACCCAGGCATGTAGTTTTGAGCTCGGTATGCACTGAACCTGCGAGATGGGTGCATTATATTTATTTTGTTATTGTAGTGCACCGTGTCGAAGATAACGCGTAGGTCTGACACACTCACACACACGGTACACTGGAAGTAAGTATATATATAATAAGTATACAAAAGTGCACAGAGGTACCTACATATTTGGATTTCTCTCGCCTAACGTTTTAATTATTAACACTCTGACGACAGATTTTACAGCAAAGGCAAGTACAACATAAATCTGTTTTTTCATTGGATTTTTAGCGTCATACTAGCACGGATTGGCGTGGGCGGATGATGTATTATATACTTTGATTTCCACCTAGTCGGTTTCAACCACTTTTGACAACGTTTTTTTAATCATCATTATTATTATTATATGTCTGGAAGAGTTTAACAGAGATTACATTGTGTATGGAGAACGCAGTACATACACCTCAAATAATTTACAAACCCCGAATGTAAACAAACCGTATCGTACACAGTAAACGCGCGGCGACCGTTTTTTAGTACTTGTTATTATTATTTTTTTAATGAACGATTAAAATAACACCAAAAACACTGCCGTTTTTTAGTATTAACTTAAATAATAATAATCATAATGACAGCGGCTGAACAAACACACAAACGGCGCTTACAGATCGAAAGTAACAACAACAACAATAACAACAACAACCATAATAATAATAATAATAAAACGATAAGAATTCATCTTACCTGCCTTGCGTGTACGGCACAGTCTCTCTATTGTGGCGGCGGCTGAGGTGGCTGTATATGATGGCTATTATAATAAAATAATATGGAGTGGCAATGTAACGTGCGGCAACAGAGTTATTAAATCTCCCGCGAGAACGGCGGCTGCGGCGGCGACGGGCGATGATATTCAACGGTGACAGCAGGTGGCCAGTGGCGACGATGGTACCCGACGGCGGCACATGACCCGTCGTCTTCGGGCCGATACCCGAATTACAATATTATTATGTAACGACAATAATATTATTTTTGTCGTAACCGTATCGACAATATTATTATTATTACTGTCGACCGACGGATTTCGTTGTAAATACCGACACGGACGAGACGAAGATATTATGGTAAAAAAAAAAAAATCCGTCGTTACAATATTAATATCAATATTTTTTTTAATGTCGTCGTAACACAACGCGAACGCGCACGCACTACACGGACGTCGGACGGACACACGGGTCGGACTTTACGCACCAGACCAACGCACGAGCGGAGACGGCCAAGCGAACACGACGCACTGGCTGCCGCGGCACGTCCGGACCACACGGGATCCGGTCTTCGGCGCGTGCGGTCCCCGCCGCACCACGCGGTCGGCGCACCGCGCGGCCGTCGACGGAAGAGCGCGCGCTTTTTATTTTTTTTTCGCGCTGCCGTCGATCGCGCTACCGTTTTCCGCGAACCTGTTGATCCCGCTAAATCGCGGCACTCTACCCCCACCCGGTGGCCCCTACTCGACGGGCCCCCAAACTCTGTGTACCCAAGGGCCCCTACACAGCCTAAGACGGCGGTCCTGCATGTAAATACCGCGGATGTAGAGCAAACAGTCGGTGGGCGTCATCAATGGTCAGTGTAACACACTTACAAGTATAAGTTACAACTAATATTGGCAATGATCTATAAGCGTGCAAATAGCCGAAGATTTATGTATGGGCGGATTCAATGTCCCCGGCGGTATCTACAAACGATAAATTGCTATAATAATAAATTAAGGTTGCTGAACTACAGAAAACTAGTCGAGTCCGCTGATAAGTTAACACATACACACGAGTAGATTTAACCTGATATAATTTGCAATTATTGATATTATGAACTAAATACGCTATTCCAACAGTCAATTGTAAAGTTGGCAAGTCGTCGGTTCGAGTCCGTTAAATAGCAAATTTACCGTAGTCTGTAATTATTGGCTTAACTCGTGTATTAAAATTTACACGGTCGGCAGTGACCCGAGTAAGGTGCAGAATGCACGACAATAATGGCTGTTCAACTTGGTCCCCGGCAAAGCACGTGCTGGAACGATAGTCAGTGATAAAACTCGGCTTGCATTATTATATAAAATTATGTACTACTATATAAGTATAATAATATAATATTCCGGATAGGTATTTTGTGGGGAATTCGAGGCGAACATAGGTCGGTGGTCGTAAATTCAACGACCGTCGCCCGTCGACTCCAATATGATCGGCATCAATTCCGCTGGCTTAAAGTTGTGTAGTAGGGTGGTTTTTTAATTGGATTTTCCCGGGAAATTATGCCCAGTGAAACCGTGTTAATCTCCTCTGGCTCAGCTCGCCCAAAGTTTGCACGGTCCAAACCGCTGCAACACGTTGATTGGCCTTCCCTCGCTAATTTTACATTATTATTATTATAATTGGACATCCGAAATAGTAAATTTCCTCCAGACATGCATCTAGAACGAACAATAATTACCTATGTATTTCTCCATTGTTATGTTCATGATAAACACTAGACTGGATCTTGCTTCGGAAGGTCCCTTCACATAAATCGAATAAATACCACCCCGAAACATCATTGGCTTCGGTCGTTCCGGACTTAACGCTTAAGTAGAAAATAAAAATTCTTACAGAATATAAATAGTATATAAAAAAAATAGTTGAATGTGCGTTCCCTTTTTTCTTCTAAGGTTCTTTCTCGATAACCGTGTGATTTATATTTTATATATTAAACACGTTACAACATTAGGTATTAAATTATTCGTTTAAAAATAAATACTATGAAAAAATAAATGTTCTACTACCGCATGGCATATAAAACGATCGAGTAGTAGGCTAACTAGTTAGACGTTGTCGAGTCGACACAAAAATATTATGATACCTTCATTAACGTGTCATGGCCACCACATACTTACCTGCCTACTTGATGTAACGATAAAAGGAAATGAGTCGAACCTGTTCCACTACCGTGGGAAGTTATCCGAATCAGTTGAACGGGTAATTTCGAAATATCGTTTTTTTAAATCAGTCTGGTCAGTAAAACCTATGTATGTATACTGTATAATCACCAAGACCCAAGTTTACTATGTGTTGTACACACTAAACCGGCGCATCTAAATCAATTCAAACGGTAGCACAGTAGGCACTAATATTTTCCAAGCGTTGGGCACCACTGCTTTTGAGTATATTTTTTTTACTCAACGTTTATTTATTTTGGAAAAAAAACCGGAACGTCTATTCGTTGATTTTGGTATTGTCGAAGAAGTTTGAATTCACTAAAATTAGTTCCTAAGTTTACAAAAAAAAAAAAAAGGTATGTTTCCTTTGCGTTTTGTAAATTGTCTTATACGTTTCTCGCTCCACTCCTCTTACCTTTCCACCCGGTTACTTTTGGTTAAAGATCGCGTGCGTTCCGGCAATCGATCGAGGTACGTGTTTTATTTATACCTTAAGTTTTTTAGGGGAAAAAAATCAGCGATATACACTAACAGTTCTACTAAATAATTAGTGACGATTGTTATTTTATCGAATAAACGGTATCAGCAGTAGACGTTAATATTATTATCATACAGGGTCTAATCAATGATAAACTGATAACGCACATTTCCATTATTACCATTTTAACGCAAAACATTGATTACAAAATTTAACTATGCATAAATGTTTACACAGCCGATAAATGACCCTCTAATTAAACTCGTGATAAAGTACATTTTTAACAACAGATAAAATTTAAAACACGGTTTATGCAACAGAATTTATTTTAACCACAGTTAAACGAGTTTATCTCTGTGTAAATATTTGGTGCAATTCGTCATAAATCTTGTAATATCACACTGTCCTGTTTCGGAGGTCGTCTACAGTTGATTTTATAGAAAGAATAAAGAAACTAAGGCGGATGTTGAAGTTGATCTACCCGCGTCACTCTTCCTGTACATATGTCTATATATGCACAAGAAGATCGATTTAACGCAAGACACTCGTTATCTCGGTAAATATTTACATTTTTGGAGTCTCAAAAAATGCAAAACTGCAATATTCTTTGAAGAGAAAACGACTGTCTGTACTTGGACGACTTTCTAAACCGGTGCTACTAGACTAGAGGACTTGAGATTGACTTACCCGTGTACTTGGAACCGGCCTCGATGCCCAAATTCTGCGTCAAGTTGTACTGCGGGTTTTTGGACAGGTCGAACGCGTCGTACTGCACGACGCCGCCGGCTTTGAACGTGTCCGCCAGGGTCCTGACCATCAGGCCGCACGTCTGTTTGCCCACTTTCAAGTAGCCGTTGATTTCGTACAAGATCAACACCCTCTTCCACGCATACCTGAAAAGTCCTTTCCAAAACACAGTTTAACAATGGTCGCCGCCCTTGCCTTGCCTTTGCACACCGTAAAACCACAGTATACCTGTCCAACACGCTGACCACCACGTTGGCCATGTGCTGAAACGCCAGCGTGCCAGCCCGGACCAGCAGGTAGTACTTGCTCTTCGGGTCGCGTTTGTCTTCGGTAAAGTCGTTGGTCAGCCCTCCTGTGGTCAGCAACGGCACGTTCCAGAACTTGATCATTCGGGCCACTAAATCTGCAACAACAAACGAGGACACAGTTATAAATTCAGCTTGGTGTGGCCGTAGAACATTTGATGTGACGCAAACGGAAAGACTAGACGAGAAAAATACCGTTCAATATATTATCGTGGTGATAAGAGGCACGATTTAAGATATTATGGTCGCCTAACCGCTGTTGCAATCCAATACAAAGTACAAACTATTTATTTATAAACTGTGTAGCCATAAGTCACAGAAAAATTGAAAACAAGGAAATATCGGAGTTCTGGCATCACTAGCTAAAACTCAATATGTCTGACCGTTTTTTGATAAGCTCTAAGATTCTCTGCTGTTTATTCTGTGGAGTGTGATATTATCGTAGGCAGTTAGGCGACCATGATTATCATAAATCGTGATAAGAGGTAAAAAATATTATTTTATCGTACCAACCGCTCAATAAATGATAACGATTTTTTTCCCTCTATGCGGTCATACTGGTGGGTTTTGGTCCTATTCTGTTTACTTCACTAGCAATTCAAATTATGTATTCTATAGGTTATATTGTTATATGTAGATTTTTCTGTTTTGCAGTGAGTTATTTTTATTTTTTCATCTCATCACCGTCCGGAATTCCGGTAGAAAATTAAAATTGTTTATATATTTTTTAATAAAATTCATAATAACGACAACAATATAAAGACGTCTGGTGTCGGGAAAATGCTATTACTATTATTATTATTATTATTAGCAAGGGATCAACGTGATACGACGGTGACGGGCTACGCAGCTAAAAAAAAGTTGAAGAATACCCAATTTTCACGTCAAGTATACAAAAAACAACTTTTGCATAATGTTTTTAATACCTGTCGATAGTAGACAATACGGCTTTACGTCCAATAACGACTATCAGTTATCGGTTTAACTTCACAATCGTTTGATTGTAATGTAATGAGTGATAACTTTCAGCGTGTACACATAATATGTTATACTTATAATTGACAACTTAAGACCCGCACATTCTGCAGAGTAGTAACGTGCCACGCAGTCAATTAATACTATATTCACATTGAACTTGGTAAGTTTGTATTCATTAATCATTCATGTTGCAAGTTAGGGGTAACTTTAGGTATGCAATTCAATAATTGCCACAGTCTAAGTACGAGCGCAGTTCATAATCAGTTTACCGTTTGTCAGGACGAATTTAAATTATTTCTGGCACGAGCACTCGAAGCAAAATAATTTCTATCCGAGTTCTTGACAATGCATCCATTTACAGTTTGAAACCGTTTACAAAAGTGAAAATTAATTATTGATATTTTCCGGACGAGCGAGAAATTAAAAATATATTCTGTTACAAGTGCCCTGTAAATGATTTAATCCCATCAAGTCAAGCTTGATTCTCCACCATTCAGCACTAAATAGGATTTGAACCTAATAAAACATTTATGGCACAATAAATTTCCGTTAAACGCCAAGCAAAAGTGGAAATTATTAAGTCAACAATTTAAATCTTAGTTTGATTAACATCAAAGTATATTTTGTTTGCAAGTGATTTTATCACTTTAAGTTACACTGGAAATTCTTCTTCTTCTTCTTCTGCTCCTTTGCTGCTTCTATCAACTTTTCAGGGTACTACCCCACTGTAGTCTGTACAGGCTTTTTTAAAACAATAATTTTAAATATCATCTGTTTCTGTATAGTATTTACCCACTGATGATCACT